GTGCGGTGCGGAGCTGAGCGGTGCGGTGCGGTGCGGTGCGGAGCTCCCTGCCTGCCCGCCCGCCGGGACCGCCGCGGGGGATGGCGCTGTCCCTGTGTCCCAGGAGCGCGAAATGCCATGAATCGAGAACCGTAAAATCAGAGTTTTTGGGGCAGGGCGGACAGGCAGTGTGCCCGTCTGCCCGAGGCGGCTTCTCGCTCGTGTCCCACACCGATGTTTCAAGTCGTGCGTTGCGATAAGAAAAAGTGCAATAATACATGAAACCAGGGTAGTTTGTGAAGGATTAATCCTTTGCTTGCTTCAAATCTGAACAGGAATCTCCACACAAATGTCCCACATGTGGAAGAACCTTTAATCAAAGAAGTAATCTGAAAACTCACCTTCTTACCCATACAGACATCAAGCCCTACAACTGTGAGCAGTGCGGCAAAGTGTTCAGGCGAAACTGTGATCTTCGGCGGCACAGTCTAACTCACACCCCGCGGCAGGACTTCTAGAGCAGCCAGGGACCCGCGCCCACTCCGGCAGCTCCAACTTGCTCATTTTACTTCAGAACTGTATTGTAGGAACTCACAGACACCCACCCACACACGCACCCGGAGACACACACACGCAGACTCGGGGCCAAGCTTTCCTGCCACACGCGTCTGCGAAACTCGTTTAGAGAGTGTGGACTGCAGGATCGGGCCCCTCTCCAACCCACACCCAAGCGTAAAGCTCATCTTGTAGATACTCGCGGCTCATTTTAGAGCTCTGTACAGAATGTGGTTTTCTTCGTTTGTTTGTTTTGCATCGTCTTGTCAAATGCACGTCGATAACTAATCGGGGAGGCAAAGTATCTCTTAAAAACGTATTTCAAAATAAATCCTTTTTTTTTGTTTTGTTTTGTTTTGTTTTTTTCCAAATACCTCCTGCCTTGTTGTATTATTCTCTGAACTTTTGGGCTTTTTTTTCCTGCTATGTCAACGCAATGGTAACGCATATTGAATAAATTTCGTAGCCGGGTAATTGTACTGTCACAACAATTTTGGTGATCGCTTTTGTTTGGCCTGTTTCATTGTCGCTGTTGTGTTATCTATTGTTAAGTAAAATGAAAGTGCCGTATTTGGGAGTTTATAGCTCTATTACTTAATAGTATGAATGTCTAAATATTAACTTCTGTACTTTTTTTTTTTTAAATTTGCCCGAACGAATAATTTTAATATTTTTTTTTGAAAGAAGAGAAAGAGAGAAATACTTGCAAATAAACAGATCTTAGGAAATAATGCATAGAGCCGTTCTTACGCCAAAGCGGCTTATTAGTAACTTATTTGCAATTCAGCCCATATATTGTAAAAGTCATCCCTGTCGCGGAGATTGCAGCAGGCAGTCTCCTGCCAGTAGACTTTGGACATGGGCAATTTACCCGCGCAGACAGGGACTTTATCCTGCAGAAGACGATTCTTTCCCGACAGCTCTGGGAGCAAACAGCGAGGCGCAAACACCGTCCCCCTCCCCGGGGCTCATCCGGGGGTTCCGCGGCAGGACGGGCCCGGGGACGCCCCTCTGCCTCGCCCCCTCCCTCCGCCCCGCGCCCGCGGAGCCGCCCGCTGACGAGCACCGGTGGGGCCCTCGGGGGCGGAGGGACTGTTCCCTCCTCCCGGGGGATCCTCTCCTCACTGCGCCCCGTCACCCCTGAAAGCCCCTAGCCACCCCCTGTTAGGGTCACTCTTGGCAGCCGGGCATGCCCACCTCACGAGCGTCACACTCTGTGCTTGCACCCGGTGTGCAGGTATCCGGACGGTGACACCGACCCCCGAGGCTTCCCTCCTTTGTCACCTTTGTGAGTCCTTCACCAGTGCCTCTGGTCCCCTTCAGGAAGGACTAGTGCCAGAGCTGAGGCATTTTCCCTGGTGTTTTACAGGGTGGTATGGGTGTGCATCCTCTCTTCTGCCACCCCACTGCTCTTGTCACTCCCAGCATCCCCCCTGCAATGTCCTGAAAAGTTGTTCTTTTCCAGGCTGGGGGCCGCCTATCCTGCCCTTCTCCTCTCCCAAACTAAGGATCAGGTTATAATGGTAAGGAGAAATCTTGCCCCTCAGCTCAGGGAGTTTTGTTTGGGGGTGGGGGAGGAATCCCAGCTCAGGGTGATGGGGTCCATCCTGGGGCCCACCTAGCAGCGTGCCAGGGCTCTGGGATGGTCCAACTGCAGGGGAGTTGCAGGTGACAGTAGTTCCACAGGAACCCGATGCTGTCAGACCTCGAGCACCTGCAGTGTCACCATCCCAGACCCTGGCTGGTCCCTGTTAATGAGTAGCAAGTCAAAAGTAGAAGCGCTCAGGCTGCAGACAGAACATTGTTGCAGAAAGGACTGCTTTACTGCCTGTGGCTTCTCCTTTTCTGTCTGCTGGGACTACCATGCCCACCCCATAGCCAGGCCCAGGGACCCCTGATCTAGCCCTGGTCTGCATCAGGCCGAGGCAGCTGAGTGAGTTTCCACTGATGCAGTAGACGTGGCAGTCTCAAACTTAGCCAAAATTTCTTAGGTGGCCAAGGCCTATCTCCCCATCTGCTCCTGTCCAGCAAGATGTGGAGGGACAAAAATGCTTCTGCAGTCAAAGTTTATTTCTCTTCACTTCCTGTGATTTGCACCTCTTCCCTCACTGGGGTGCTGAACCCCTGTGACTGCCTTTCTCCCCTGCATGCTGACAGCCCCTGTCCTCCCTTTCCAAACTGCACCCCTCTACACACTGCTCCTCTCCAATTCTCTCTCCATGGGCATCTCTGGCTCCATCTCCATGGGCATCTTCCCGGTATCTGATTTCTTCCTGTCTGATTTTTCTATTCCCTGTGTATTCCCATTCTCCCAGTAGGTTATTTCCTCTCAATTTCTCTATCCTTATTGTTCTCCAAGTTCCTGTCCCCAGGCCCTTTTGCATCCTCAAGTATGCACAGCAAGGCTGGGATAACTCTGCTCAAGTAAACACCCCTGTCAGGATACATATGGGCTTAGTCCACTGCTCCTAGGCCAAGCTCTATGTGCAGTTTGTTTGGAAAGAACTTAATCAGATGAATGATATCAAAGGACTAAATTAAAATGATTGCATATAGCTAGGGTTTTATTTAATTGTTTAGGGTTGCTTGTTTAATAATCTCCTCCCTGAGCAGATGCAGACTGTAAATTTATCTTCTGAGGATTTAAAATGTTCAGCGGCCAGAGCAAAGCACAAATTGCTGAAGAGAGGCAGTGACAAGTATCTCTAGCAGTTGGTCCCTGGATTGTTTTTTAAATTTAAACCAGTAGCTATCATCTTAAAATGTCAGAGGATGATTTAGTATGTCTCTCTACTATCAATACACTTGCCTATGGCACTGACATGCTCCATTCACTTTTTAAAAGATCATCTCTCCCTGGGAAATTTCAGAGGCAGCTCTAAAAAGCATGTTAAAATACACATAAGGTTCATCGGTTTTAGACCGGTTTGGAACAGAAACAAGTTTTGTAAGGCTATCTTTTGGGAAGGGTAGGGTTTTTATAGCCATAAAGTGCCATCCTGACTTTCACAACGCAAACACTAAACACATTAATATCCCTATGGCTGCCGTTTGTGTCTGTGTGAAGTATCCTCCTTTCCTCTGGAGCTTCATCTGAGCACACAGCTTTGTGCTTTTGCAGTTTCCTGGAGCTTCCCAAACCACCTGCCTGCTGCTTCCCCATGTTCTCTCTCCTGTTGCCCTTTTTTTTTGCCATTGCTTTTTTCTTCCACACTGGCACAGTTAATTCTGCACCTTTTGCTGTGTTACAGCCAGCAGCTGCAGTGCAGCAGAAGGGAGAAGGATGACCTGGGGAGAAAAACCAGCAGATAATAAAATAAACTCTGGCCATAATCTCAATTTTTTTTTTTGAAAATTGAATTAAAAAATCAAAGTGTGAAAACTGAGCTTATTGTACATTAGTTGTTGAAATGGATGCTGCTGCAGCTGATGGTGGAGCTGGTCAGCCCAGCTGGGAGAGCATAAAGTTACGAGGTCATCTTTTACATAGCAACAGCTCACCATGCTATTCCAGACCAGCATGTCTGATGCCAGCACAGCTTTGCTGGCAAAGACTAACTTTGCACTGGTAGCACTTCAGGAGCAGTCACAGACCAGATCTAAATCAAGATCAGCCCAGGAGCAACCCAGGAACGTGGCACAGTTGTATCAGGCTGGAGCTAAGGGCTTGTGCTGAGGGTCCCACTAGTTAAATACATCCAAGGCATTTGAGTAAAATGTGAAAATCCATTATTTGTTGAACTTCCCACTCTCCAGCTCTTTCCTTTTCTTCTTCCTTTCTTCTCACTGCTCTACTTCTGGATTTTTGCTTTCGGAGCTGCTTCTCTCACCCTGGCTTCATCCTATACAATACCCTGCCTAGTCTACCCTCATCTTCCCTACTTTTTTCCTCCTTTTTTTTTTTTTTTTTTTTTTTTTTTTTTTTTTGGCCTTTCTGTATCTCCTTCTGTGTTTCTACCTCTCTTTTCCTAAGCACGTTTACTCACTCAGACAGTTTCCCCCCTCCTCTTTTTGAACCCTTGAAGCTTCCACTTGTTGTCTCAATCTGCAGCTACCAGCTCACATAAGCTCTCCTCTCTTCACCAGCCCAGACCTTGTTTCCCCTGCCTCAGGGTTCCCATGTGCTGCCAGTCTTCCCTTGCCATCTCCATTAATCTATGCCACGTCCACATGGCACTCAGGAGGCACCAGTGCAGGTGCCATAGATGTATTCAGAGCATTTTAAGCACCTTGCGACTGGCACAAAGCCAGGAGTGTGGTCTCAGAAGGACCTGAACCAGCACCACAGGCTGCAGAGGCAGCCCTGGCTGCTTGGAGAGGGAGTGGTGTTGGCAGCAGTGCTGCAGCCCCCAGCCTCCACAGCCCTCACAGATGTCAAGAGGAACCAAAGGTTTGAGGTGAATGAAAAAAATCAAGGTACTGGTCCCAAACTTTCAAGACTGGGTTTCGAGTTTGTCAGCTAAGCTTCTCTGGTGTCTCAGAACCTCTAATCACTCTGTGCTCCTAATATTTTAACTGCAGGAAGTCCTTTGTGTGTGGAAGAATGACTGTGTTCACCAAGCTACATTACACAAGGATTTAGGAATATATTGCTTTTATATTAATATTGTACTGTGTTTCCAGTGTATCTTTTCCTCCTCACAGAATCTCTTTTTCGAATTATTTCAGTAAAAATAGGGTAGCTATTAGCCAAAATGGTATTTTTGTTGATGTTCTAAAAGAGACGAATACTTAGATTTAAAGATGCTTACTTACATTCAAAATAAAGGCATCACATCTATATGAAACACTAATTCATCGCTTTCAAAAATCCAGATGCAGCTGTTTGTGAAACTTTTTCTAGAGGCTTCTAGTCTATCAAACAAGAGATGCAAAAATATTTACACTGAGGACACTAAACATCTTTTCCAAATCTGCAGGATTAAGGCAAGGAGAAGTGGAAGCTGGTCCCCCTCTTTCAAGC